AACCCTATGACTTAAAATACTCATAAAGTAGTTTATATCGGTAAAAAGTTTTAATATATATGTAATTTTGGTTTAAAATATACTTTTACTATGATAGCACAGAAGAAGAGAATTTTTAGAAATTTTACTTTAAATGCAACTCATGCGTCGTTATATTCTTACAGGTATTTAACCTTAAAAATATATTAATTTTTTGGCACACAAAATAAAAACAATTTCTTTTTTTCCAAAAATACATAAATTATTTTTAGAAACAACAAATATTTCCATCAAAAATACGTTTTTCAAAAAAATACGAAAATTACTCATACAAAATATAGAAATTAATATATCCCCAAAAACATCATAAAACATATTGTGCATTATGTTCGAAGACACGCAATCTCAATTAGTCTCCATACTTTATGATATTTGCAATTGGTATTTTTCTTTTTCGAAAAATAACGATCAATAAATGTCGAAATTTGTTGACATTGCATGACATCGTCTTCGTTTTGACGTCAACCTATATAACTTTTTCTTTCTTTTTTGAAAATACTGTGTTGACGTTTTCTTTTTTACCATGGCCAGCTGATAAACATCACCAATAGCCGTTCGGTAAATCGTGAGTGAAAGAAATCCATTTTTCTGTTTGCAACAGTTGTCCTGTCACATCACAATGTAAATCAAGTGAAACGCACCGAATATTTGTCAAATACCCAACAACTATGTGCAGAGAATGTAATTAGTTACACTGACTGAATGCGTTTTGTCTGTCAGCTAGTGAGTGCACATAGTCAATAAAGTGTGGGTTGTTTTAGAAATTTGAAAAAACATTTTTAGAACATTTTTTTTCAATTTTAAATATTTACTCCGTCATTGTTCACATTTTTGAAACGGAACTAGTTCCTTTCGGATAAAAAAACCATTAAGTTCATTTCAATGAACGAGATTGATTTGTCAAAGTTCGATTGCCATATTTACATTAAAATTGTTAAGGCGCGTTTAGACTATTAGTATGTTTAGATTGTACCCGATTTCGTTAACCCAGTGGGTTTAAATTGTCAATTCCATTGTATATATGCCACATAAATCCTCATGAAGTAGGTTGACCCGATAAAAATAAAAAAATTTAAATGTCGTTTATGCCCTTAAATCGAATCGATTTGTATTAAAAGGAAATGGATTGGTCAGCTGTTATTTGTTTACATATATTAAAACATTTCAAAGCTTTCGTCATTTCTTTGGCAATTTTCAATCACTATTTTATAATGTTGTTAGGAATTGGTCTACATTAGGTCACAAATGGATTTGATTTCTGAAAAAAAAAACATTTCAGTAAATGGAACGAAAAATCTTTAAATCTTTTTACTGATTATTCGGCTTTTAGTATAATTAAATATTAAAAGTAGAACCTGACTTTCAAATTTTTACCGAACTTTTTCTCCTCTATCCAATAATATTTCTCAACACTGACAACTTTGTATTCTCTCATTTTTTATTTCCCTTTGCCCAAAAAATGTACTAAATTCTTAAATTGACTCAAAATAAATGTTACAAATTCTATGTACAATTTAAAATTTCATTATGCCCATCCATCCGAATCAACATTGTATGCGGATTCTCTGTACTTTTTTGCATTCAACAGAATGCATAATGTACATACAATTAAAAACAAATGTAAACAAGTGTCAGAATACATTAAATGGGCAATTTGTGGACCATGTGGACTAAAAAACAAACGAAGAAAATATGATGCGCCTTCGATACAGACAAAGTACAATAAAATTTCCGCAACGAAAATGAAATTTTAATTTCAAATTCTCTCAATGATGAAGTTCTTTTTCTTGTATTAGAATGCAAATGTGATATATCGTTTACATTTTAAATCTATAAATCTGTGCGATCTTTATGCCTCTTTACATGGTAGACTACCAAATAAAGAGGGATACTCCTCTATACCTTAAAATTGGATTTGCTATGGGTTGCGTGCATGTTTTGAAATTTTGCCAAAGTATCATAAATTTGTGGCAGATTTTTTTGTTGTTTGTCTAAACAATCCGCAAAAAATAGATATTAAGACACACAAAATTAACAAAACATCATCGTCCGCCAACAACATCAAAATGACATTTTAACAACAAATCATGACACTTTAGCGACAATGCTCTGACACGCTAAATGACAAGGCATACAAACAAACATGGATATACACATTTTTTTCATGTAGTTTAGACAAGTCAAAGAAATATTGTAGGAGATATAGTTGACACAACATAATATATTATAGTGTTACTTTGTTTTTCTTCTGGTCCCCTATAAACAAGAATATTAATTAAAAATTATATGTAAATTTGGTGCTTTGATGAAGTCAGTCAGTTGTATTTTTCTTTTGATTTAAAAATAACAACCAACATCATTTTTTATTAAAAAGTATATATATCATAAATGTGTTTGGAGTGTGTTCTATTAGTTTTTTTTTATTTTGAAAAATATTTTTGCAACATTTTACTGGCGCCGCCAATTTTTTTGTTTGGTTGTATTTGAAAACAAGATTATATTAATTGATTTCTATTAATTTAAAATGCATTCGTTGGCCTTGGATTTTTCTTAATGGCTTTAATTTAGCATTATAGCATTTATATTTTTTTGCATGAAAATCTCTACAGCATTTTTGGCACTACTCTAGAAAAATTATTTTATATTTATGTAATGAAATTCGCGATTTAAATTCACTGGCTTAAATCTAGTGCAATGAAAACGTTCTATTAGTTTATATAATTGTTAACACACTAGTTTTATAGTTAACCCACAATATAAATATTTCTCATTAAATGCATGTTTTTGTAGAGCTTAATTTTAGTACAGAACGAAAAACTTTCATACATTTTAATTGTTTTAAGAAAACGCTTTTTGTTTAGGTACCCCCAATGTATTGTTTTCTTTATGGTTGCAACTTAATTGCATACGTAAAACGTATGGCGGCTGTCAACTTTATTTGAAACAGTAATTGGCCATATAAAGTCTTCAAATATTATATATTAACACGTTGGTTTATAATCTTAAAAAATGTACTATAATAAATAAATAGGAACAATATAGCCGTTATATTTTTGGTAATATTTGAAAACAAGATTTTATTAATTAATTTCAGTTTATATAAAATACATTTTGTGGCCTTGGATTCTATTCTTAATGGCTTCAATTAGGCATTCGAATTTATCATTTTTTGCATGAAGACCACCACAATATTTGGGAATATTTTGAGTGTTGATTCTTAAATGAATTCCTTAACGTTGTATCACAAAATTTTATGCATTTCTGTTTTAGAAATTTAATTTGTATCATTGTCAAAAGACTAGTTTTTTAATGCATATTTTTGTAAATTCTAATTTTAGTACAGAAAGACGACGAACTTTCAGACATTCTAATTAATTTATATTAAAATTATTATTTAAACCCTCGCTTTGTAGTTAAGAAAACGCATTTTATTTAGGTATCCCCAATTTATTGTTTTGGTTATGGTTGCAACTTAATTTCATACGTAAAATGTATGGCGGCTGTCAACTTTGAAACAGTAATTAGCCATATGAAGTTTTATTTAAATACGTTGCTTTATAAATTTAAAAATGTATTACAATAAATAAATATGAACAATAAAGCCTGGTTTACACCAAACCTGTTTTACGGAAGTCGTAGTTTATTTGGAAATCGTCCTTATATTTATATTTATTTTTATAGGGTACTATAAAGTCTTTTTTGCTTCTGAAAATTATATTTTCTACACAGCCTCTTTAAATATATTTCACACCATCGATCTTATCATCATCATCAGCATGATGATGATGATTAGCATAATCCATATGGTCATAGTGGCGCTAGTGACCCATATGTGAAAAGTTTTTGGTTTTTTAGTGATGCGAATAGTTTTGTTTTATATGTGCCGCCACCATTAATGTTTTCAATACAAACAATGTTTTGTGTATTTGTTTTTGGTGGCAATGTATACACGACTTTTTTGGCAAATTATTTTGTTTGTGAAAAGAAAACATTTGGCACGCGTCAGTGATTTATATGAATTTTTACGGATTTTTTTAGCTGTTTATCATTTGTTGTTTATACTTGATGTTGTGGTGTCTTTGCTTTACGGGTTAATAGTAAATTCATTAAAAGGCTTTTTTTAATTAATGTTTCATATTAGTGTTTACATTGGGTTGATTTAGTGGCTAATAATGGGTAGTAATTTATTGATGATATGACTTTTGAAAAAAAAAACTTAGGACTTAATGGAATTGGAATCGTTTGAAGTGACTTTTTAATATAGTAGGCGATTTACACAATTGTTAGCGAGCTATATATAAAGCATGTTTACATGAAATGTTTTGATGTAAACATTTCATGTAAACATGCTTTAAACTACTCAAACGATGATTTTGGTCCTTCGATATGAAATAATTTTATGTTATTATTCTCTCATATGTCTAAAAACACTTTAAATTGACCAGATGTTTAAATATATTCTTTTGGATTTTTTATGTTTTTTTTGCCAAAAAATTTGCCATATTTTTGTTTTCATTTTTCACATTAAAAAAAGCGAAACTTATTTTTATACATTTGCAAAAAGAAATAAATACTTTGCTATAACAATTATAAAAATATTTCCAAAATATAGCGCATTTTATGAAATATATATCCATATCAAAATAAACAAAAACAAACCAAAAAATATTGCATCATCAATCAACAAGTGAATCATTAAAAGATTTGGACACATTCTCATTATATATATGGAATGGCTAGAGATTCTTTGTGTTTGCATTAATAAAAATTTTGATAATCATTCCCTCTCCTCCCCCTTTTTTATAAGTAATTCTAAGAATATTTATTTTATTTTTTTATTAAATTGAAAAATAATCCCATTCTAGTATATTCTGAATTTAGTATTTTTTTGCTTTCATAAATTGTTATTATTTATGTGCAAAGATTTAATTTTGTGTGTTTTTCTTTTTTCTATATTTTAGCTGAAGTCAAAATGCCCAGCGGAAAAATTGACAAGCCCATTATCCAAGACAATCGTGATGGTACCGTTTCGGTTAAATACGATCCCAAAGAAGAGGGCTCCCACGAATTGATTGTCAAATACAATGGTGAACCTGTTCAAGGTAAGTTAAAGAAACAAACATCAAATGAAACAGAATTGTTAAATTAATTTTAAAAAATTTGTAGAAGTCCTCGAACATTTTTCAAAGAAAATGCTTTAAAAAAACTATTTTTTAAATCAGAGATTTCATGATTAAAAATTTATATTATACGTAATTTATATTATACGTTTTTTACATTAGACATTTTTAACGGATTAACTTTATGGCGATTTATTTGACATAAATGCAATGGAACTGATAAATGCAATGGAACTGACAATCCAGTACAATGTAAATGTATTATAATATTTACTAACAGATATGCATTTAGTGCTATTAAATCTAAAAAAAAACAGAGAGGGAATATATACATATATATTAAGGTTAAAATTTTCAATAATACCCAATGTATTATTGATTCATAATATAAACATAATTTAAACCTCGCTTTGTACTCAAGAAAACGCTTTTTGTTTAGGTATCTTCAATATATTGTTTTCGGTTAGAGTTGCAACTTAATTTGATCGTAAAATATATGGCGGCTGTCAACATTGTTTTCTATAGTAATTTCAAAGCCTGAGACATGCCTCTGAACATTCTAATTTTTAGTAGGACGTGAAGCAGGATGGAGAGGAGTTAAAAAGGAAAAAAATTCGAGGCTTATTAATAATGCAGCTGCAAATCTACTGCTTCTCAAAGGCATATAAATAAGGTCGTCCAGGGAGACTCACTGGATGTCAGTGGCCTCCTAAGTTTATTGTCAAAACCCATTATTGTGAATTGACTTCTATTATGAAAACGTAAACAAAAGCTAAATTTTTGACATTAGACTTGAGAAAAAACAGCTGTTTTCCGATGTTCTTACTCGGAGCAATATTATCACATGGATACGATGTATAGCGATTTTATGTCTGCATGAAGTTAAACATTTGACGAAGGGCTATTTTTGGTTTTTGGGAAAAGATATGATGGTCATAAAAATAAATTGATGAATGGTAGTGGTCATTGATGTCGAAATCTTTTAAATATTGGCACGAATTCTTTAAGGAATTTAATTTTAAATTCCATTTGAAGTCATGAGTGCGTATAAGTGTTGGTAATAGTCATACGACCCATTGAACGAATATTTTTAATGCTATTATATGCAGGTTTCTAGAACAAAAACCACTAATTAGGATCGATAAAATAAAAAAATACCCTATTGGCCTCATAAAATAATTCTTAAAAAGCCTCGAAAAATAAAAAAGAAAACATACCAACATTTTTCAAAAGCATTTTCTCTCATTTTTTATATTTATAAAATTTTAATTTTTATTTTTTTATGTAAACTTATATATTCTTCAAAAAAAATATTATTTTTTTTTTCAAAATATTAAAAAATAAATATATTTAAAGATTAACATTAAAAATATTTTTGAAAACTACACAATTATTTTTAGCTTCCATATATTTTTAATTTTTTTATATAATTAATTATATAATTTTAATGTTGTTCTTCCTTCCAGGATCTCCCTTCAAATTCCATGTGGATTCCATCACCTCTGGCTATGTTACAGCTTATGGCCCCGGCTTGACTCATGGTGTTACTGGCGAACCATGCAACTTCACCATCTCCACCAAGGGTGCCAGTGCTGCTGGTTTGACCATGGCCGTTGAGGGACCCAGCAAAGTTGATGTAAGTAAAAAAAATGGAACAAATATAGGGTTTTATTTAAAAAACAATAAGAACAATTATTGGTAAAAATTCAAATTTGGTTTTAGTGTAAAAAAAAAACTATTTTCTAGGAAAGATTTTAAATTTAATCATATAGGCTGGTGTTAGATTGTCAACATTCATCTTTATCAATTATATTTGTATTATATATGTAATTTATATATTTATATATAAAATATAAAATCAAAAACAATTCATTAATTCATTGTTTTTTTCATATTAATTGCAAAATGCTATAACATCTGCAAATTATTTGCTGTAACAGAAAGTAATATATCGTATATGTAACTAAATTAATTTTAGAAAATATCACATAACGCCTTAAATTAATTAAAAAATAATAAGAAATCAATTTTAGATTTTGCAGTTAATTAAAAAATAACAAAACCAGGAAAGAACGCCAGATGCCGTCTAACAAACTTTAAAAATTTGTAACTTACCCTCACATAAATCCGAGTTTATAACAAAGAGAAGAGTTTATGACAAAGAGAAGAGGAGTGAATAAGCTAAATTGTAGCCTTTTCATGTCCCCTTCTCTTCCAAAAACTCATTTTATATAGTGAAACCTTTTGTGTCTGTCTTCCAATTAATATATATTATAAATTAGATTTTATCCTTAAAATTATCACAATATTTTGTTTTAAATACTTAATTGAGGTTGTAAAGTAGTCGACCTACACCAATTAATATTTTTACCGATTGTTTTTATCTAAAAACATAATTTTACCTTAATTTCCACTCCTAATGTTACGAATAACCATTTTTACAAAATTCAAAGCATACTTTCAGGCGTTGTGTGATAACCTTAAGTAGTCAACAGTAGTTCTTTAGTGTAATGTAGTTTTAACAATTTTCCCGCTGCTTTAAATCCAATGGCTTTTTTCTTCTCTTCCCCTCCGCTCCAAAAAAATCTCTTTGCAGATTAACTATCACGACAACAAAGATGGTACCGTTTCTGTTCAATATCTACCCACTGCCCCCGGTGAATATCATGTTTCGGTACGCTTTGGCGATAAACACATTAATGGTTCACCCTATGTGGCCAAGGTCACCGGTGAAGGTCGCAAACGTAATCAAATCTCTGTTGGTTCCTGTTCAGAAGTCACCATGCCTGGTGAAATTACCGATGATGATTTGCGTGCCTTGAATGCCTCCATTCAGGCACCCAGTGGCTTGGAAGAGCCATGCTTCTTGAAACGTATGCCAACCGGCAATATTGGCATTTCCTTTACACCCCGTGAAACTGGTGAACATATGGTTTCTGTGAAACGTATGGGTAAACACATCCCCAATTCACCATTCAAGGTGACCGTTATGGAACGTGAGGTTGGTGATGCCAAGAAGGTTAAGGTTTCTGGTTCCGGTTTGAAGGAAGGCAAAACTCACACTGAGAATGTCTTCTCCGTGGATACCCGCAATGCTGGTTATGGTGGTCTCTCCGTATCCATTGAAGGTCCCAGCAAGGCTGAAATCCAATGTACCGATAAGGATGATGGTACCTTGAACATTTCGTATAAACCCACTGAACCCGGTTATTATATTGTCAATTTGAAATTCGCCGATCATCACGTGGAGGGCTCGCCATTCACTGTTAAGGTCACTGGTGAGGGTAGCAACCGTAAACGTGAAAAGATCCAACGTGAACGTGATGCCGTTCCCGTCACTGAAATTGGCAGCAAATGTAAGCTGACCTTTAAGATGCCCGGCATTACCTCCTTCGATTTGGCAGCCCGTGTAACATCACCCAGCAATGTGACTGAAGATGCTGAAATCCAGGAGGTGGAGGATGGACTCTACTCTGTGCACTTTATTCCCAAGGAATTGGGTGTCCACACTGTGTCGGTACGCTACAAGGATATGCACATCCCCGGCTCTCCCTTCCAATTTACCGTTGGTCCATTGCATGACTTTGGTAGCCATTTGGTTAAGGCTGGCGGTTCTGGTTTGGAACGTGGCTTGGTTGGAGTACCAAATGAATTTAATGTGTGGACCCGTGAGGCCGGTGGCGGCTCTTTGGCCATTTCCGTTGAAGGTCCCAGCAAGGCTGAAATTGAATTCAAGGATCGCAAGGATGGTTCCTGTGATGTGGCCTACAAAGTAACCGAGCCCGGTGAATATCGTGTGGGTTTGAAATTCAATGATCGCCATATTCCTGATTCGCCATTCAAGGTGTACATTTCTCCCGATGCTGGTGATGCCCACAAATTGGAGGTACAACAATTCCCTGAGGGTAGCATCCAGGCTGATGCTCCTTATCAATTTATGGTACGCAAGAATGGAGCCAAGGGTGAATTGGATGCCAAGATTGTTGCCCCCTCCGGTACCGATGATGATTGTTTCATTCAGACCATCGACAGTGATATGACATCGGTGCGTTTCTATCCTCGGGAGAATGGTATCCATGCCATTCATGTCAAATTCAATGGTGTTCATATTCCTGGATCACCATTCCGTATTAAGGTTGGTAAGGATGTAGCCGATCCCGCCGCTGTTCATGCCAGTGGTTCCGGTTTGGAATGTGTAAAGACAGGTCACAAGGCTGATTTCATTATTAATACCTGCAATGCTGGTGTGGGTACATTGTCCGTGGCCATTGATGGTCCATCTAAGGTTGCCATGGATTGTACTGAGGTGGAGGAGGGCTACAAGGTGCGTTATACTCCATTGTTGCCTGGTGATCATTTCATTTCGGTTAAATACAATAATATTCATATTATTGGTTCGCCGTTCAGAGTCAGTTGCGAGGGTAAGTTGGAGGTTGGGGGAATTTTGGAAAAAAATGAGTTTAATGTGTTGTTGTATTTTTATTTTAGGTGACAAAATGGTCGATGAAGGTGCCCAAGAAACCTCTACCGTTGTGGTAGAAACCGTGCAAAAGGTTGCCAAGGGTGGCAAGAATACCGGTGTTGTTATGCCTGCCTTTAAATCCGATGCCTCCCTGGTCACATCGAAGGGTATGGGTCTGAAGAAGGCCTTTATGGGTAAAACCAATACTTTCACCATTAGTGCCACTGAAGCTGGTAAGTAAAAAAATACCAATCAGAAGTGGTATTCAAAGAAAAAATATTGCTGGACCATTAAAAATTAATTTTAAAAAATCCATGCCTATGGGAGATTATTAAAAATTAATTTTAAAAATTCCATGCCCCTGAGAGATTATTAAAAATTAATTTTAAAAAATCCACACCCATTGCTAGGCCATTAAATTTGGTTTAAATAAACAGGCCTATAAATATACCGCAAATATAGAAACCTCTTATTGGAACCCTTTTTATTTAATTGTTGACATTTTTATTTATTCCCTTTCACTACAAATTTATAATTTATTTATTTTTATTTTTTCTTAGGCAACAATATCCTCTATGTTGGCATGTACGGACCCAAGGGACCCTGCGAAGAGTTCAGCATTAAACATACCGGACGCAACAACTACAATGTCAGCTATATGGTACGCGATCGCGGCCAATATATTTTAATAGTCAAATGGGGTGATGAACATATTCCCGGCTCACCTTTCCAAATTGATGTCTAAGTCGTGTTATTCAAAAATTAACTCTCAAACAAATCACAACACAGACCACTATGGTATTTTTTCTATTAAAAAACAACAAAAACAAAAATCCTTGAAAGCAAACAAAGTTCCACACACACACAAACACTTCTTCCAATGCCTGTTTTTTGTAATATGTTTGCTTTAAAAATAAAGTTTCTTATTTTTTGTAAATTAATATGAAGGATTAACGTATCTTTCATATGCTCGAAAATTTATTATTACGTTTATTAAAAAACAAAATCATCGTCTTGTTAGTAAAAAAAACAAAAAACTGAATGTAACTGTCGTTTTTTAATTTAGATTTTAAATTATTATTTTTGTCCCTTATACTTTTTTTGCTTTTTTCTTCATATATAAATATTTTTTTTCTTTGTTTTTATCGATTGAAGTCCATAAAAAAAGAAGCAATATAATTTTAAAATGATATTTAATTCGTATTTTTTTATTACATCAAATATATAATTTATAATAATTAAAGTAAAGCGTATTTCTGTTATCCATATTATATATATTATGTTTTTTTTATGTTTTTAATGATATATATATTTTTTTCAAACATACATATAAAATAATTATTTATAAATAAAAAAATAATAAAACAAGTAAAACTGGCACTTTTTATTTTATCGTGCGCACCAGCCCAACAGACAGACATAAAATTGTCTAAAACGGATTTGATCCAAAGAAACATGGCGTATAAAACACAAAATTTTCGATGAGACACATTTTTGCCGTAACAATGTGTATATACCCTCCCTCATTAGCTATAAGGCTGAGGTTAACGCTACGCAATTTGCAATGTTTATTTATTTATAATATCAATAGTTTCAAAATAAACAATTTGGCCTTTTCAAGCAGATCCTAAGCATAGCATTTGACATCATCCAAATAGAGCCTCTATTCATTCCAGATTTATTAACGCTACATGCTTATTTGCAATGCTTAGAGGGAGAAAATCTAAATACTAGTTTCAAAATAAACAATTTGGCCTTTGGAAGCATTCAAATATCTTCACGTAATCAAAAGTTATGAGCAATCCAATTTTATGTTCATTTCCCATGGGGTTGGCAACCCTAGTAATGTCACATTGTCAGCGCCATCTGTTGACGCAAAAATTTTAAGTTATTTTTTTCAATTTTCCAGAAGAGAAATGGATTTATTCAAAATATTTTTCAGAAAAAAATTCAAGAAGAGGCGTGGATTTTTTCAAAATAATTTTTTCAGAGGCCAGAAGAGGCTTGGATTTATTCTAAATAATTTTTATAGTGACCACACCTAGGGGAATTGCAAATCTCCTACTAGTCGCGTCTTCCGGGTGGCGGATGGGAAGGGAGTCTCCATGATGTGCAGAGTGAAACTGACCTAGGTCTCCTAGATCAACTTTTCTCTGCACTTCGTGGAAACCTTGAAGATTTTCGGATCCCCCGTGGACCAAAATGGATCGGTGTAGTGCCCTTAAATATACCAACTACGATGGGTAAAAGAGGTAAAAAGAATAAAGTTACAATGGAGTTAATAACCCAGTACAGGCGGCAATCGTTGGTGAGGTCACAAGCCACGTTTCGTCGAGATAAAGCGATTGTGATCCGGCTGTTCTAGGTGTGGATGCCTTGGCACCTGCAGCTGTATCTGTTACAAGTGCATCAATTCAAAACCAAAACGTTGACGAACCGGCTATTCCTTTGGCAAATGAACATGTCAAGACTTGTGAAAATCAGTCTCTGGCTGATAGGACTTTAGTTCTGGGAGGGGACGATCTACACGGGACTCTACGCGCTATTCGCGATAGTCTAGAGGAACAAAGTAAGGAACTCTTTTGTTTTTCCAGTTAGACAGACTGGTACCGGAGGAGCAATGTGGGGATACGCTTCCGGAAGAACTGCTACTGAATCTTACCCTAACTGATAATGAGCTGGACACCACGGTGATCCCAGCCAAATCTACACAGGGGGATTGCTGTAGTAGTAACGCAGCATGCTAAAAGTACTAAATTTGGTACAATTTCGTAGCATGTGAAAGGATAGAGCTAAAAAGTGTGTACGAAAAGTGTTATATGGTACTATATTTGGTACAAATTTAATTTGGTGATACAAATCGAGCTGGAATTTGAAAATAACATTAACGCGGGAGTGTAGTATTGGGATATGAACGTAGTTTTGAAAATTTGTTACTTATGTGTACAAAAAGTACTAAATCGTACTATAATCGGTACAGTTTGGATTTTTGGTGAACCGATTGAGCGGTAACAATGAAATATGGAGTCAGGATCACTGTAGGGGTGTGTGGGATTGAGGTCAGGATTCAGTTTAAGAAATTAATACTTATGGGTACTAAATGGTACTACATTTGGTACAATTTGAATTTTTGGGTGAACCAATAGAGCTATAATTATGAAATTTGGAGTTAGGATCACTGTTGAGGTGTAAGATTGAGATATGTAAACGTTTTAGAAATTTGTACTAATGTGTACTAAATTTGGTACAATTTGAGTTTTGGGTGAACCAATAGAGTTAGAATCCTGAAATTTTTATTTAGGATCACTGTTGGAGTGTGGGATCGGGATACGTAGAAATTTTGGAAATTACTACTAACGTGTACTAAATGTTACGACATTTGGTACAATTTGAATTTAGGTGAACCGCTAGAGCTTGAAGATAATAGCAAAAAATCACCTTTATAGGTGTAATAAAACTGCAGAATCCCCTCTAACCATTGCTGGAAAATTCATAAAAATCGGTTAAGTATTTCCGGAGTTATTCGAATTTCATTTCTACCATGCTCCGAAATATCTGTTCGATGCTGGGCGCCTATTGCCAAAAAATTAAAAACACCACAAAAATCGATCTTGCAAAAATGGAAATTTTTTCCCTGCATACAGCTACAGTGTGTGTATGTGTAAGTAAATATATTTTATATTCCATATGTGCATAAATCATACATACAATCACACCTACATATCAAGCAACAAGAAATTGCACCTCGAACTGCCCTTTGCCATATGCTATAATTTTCATACAACAGCAGACGACATTATGAAAATAATTTTTGCCCTTTTTAAAAGACCGATTTTTGTGTGGTTTTTCATTTTCAGGTAATAGGCGACCAGAATCGAGCAGGAGGTGTATTTAACGATGAATAGTAGTCATAAAAAACAAACAACCCTTTCAAATCATTGATTTTTTATAAAAATTCGTGCTCTGTTAAAATGGTTCACAGCCCCCGTTTCTTCAATGTTATGGCTGTATAATCGACCCACATAAACGGCTATTCCTTATTCTTTTAATAATATAATTATATATGATATGTAGATATGTAGGAAGTTTTGGAAATTGGTACTACTGTGAACTAAATTTGGTACAATTTGAATTTTTGGTAAACTGATAGAATTGGAATCCTGGAACTTGGAGTTAAGATCACTGTGGAGGTGAAGGTTTGGGTTAAGTAGGAAGTTTCCGGAAATTCGTACTAAATTTGGTACAATTTGAATTGTGGGTGAACCGATAGAGTTGGAATCCTGAAACTTGGATTTAGGATCACTGTGGAGGTGAAGGTTTGGATTAAGTAGAACGTTTTGGAATTTCGTACTACTCTGTACTAAATTTGGTACAATTTGAATTGTGGGTGGACAGATAGAGTTGGAATCCTGAAACTTGGATTTAGGATCACTGTGGGGTGTGGGTTTTGGGTTAAATAAGACGTTTTGGAAATTCGTACTACTGTGTACTAAATTTGATACAATTTGAATTGTGGGTGAACCTGTAGAGCTTGAATAATGAAATTTGGTACTAAATGGTACTCAAATTTAATTAATGGTCGATATTAATGTGTGGATTGCTTAGTTTTTCCGACACATGCAGTTTTCTGTGAAAATAAAATAGTATGTTAATACATGTTAAAATATATCCAACATTCGCTAACGAAATAGCGGGTATGTGCTAGTTTAAATATTTTGTTTTTGCCAAATAGTCAGGCTGAATCCCAGTTTGTTGTTTTTATAAAAAACAACTATTTATTAGTGGGGAATGTATGACATTGTTTTCAGATGCCAAAAGAGGCGTGAATTTAATCAAAATATTTTTTTCACAGGCCCGAAGAAAAATTTAAAAAAATCCCCGCCTATTGGTAGGACATTAAAAAATTAAAAAAAAAAACACGACCATTGGTAGGGCATTAAAAATTAATTTTTTTACAATTAAAAAAATAATAAAATTACATATTTTTAAAAAATGTTTAAAAAAGTATTTATTTTTTTGTTAATACCATTTTAAAAGGCTTACATTATAAAACAATAAATTTAACGACAGCTTAAAAACCATATACCCACATATAGAGTCTTATATACTAGGAATATTTATGGCCTCCACCACCACTGTCATGATGCGAAACACCACCACCATTATTACCAAACGATTCATATAGATCACCATATTGACCAATATATTCCAAATCATCATCATCGCTGGATGAATCCTCACTAGTGTCCGGCACTACTCCGCTTGCTGGTGGTTTAAAATATATTGTCGATTTGCTATTGAAACGTCGACGTCCGATATAATATTTAAGGAATTTTGTTGCTGCCTTTGGTCCAATGACTCGACTCAGATGTTCATGAGTGATGACAAAAGAGGCACCATCTTGGCTAAAACTTTGCGGTGGAGCCAGAGATGATTTGTGCGGAGCATAAATTAAAATACCCTTATTGGGAATGTGATGTGGGGCAAGGGAGTTAGTTTGATTGTTCGTGGTCTTTGATGATGAACTTGGTTCCGCTTGTTGTCTTCGTTCATCCATATTATTTTCGGATGCTGGAGGTGGTGGTTCGAAATTCGTTGTTGTTGATGATACTACCGTACAATCAATATCATCATCCTGATCACTAAGCATATCTTGTAATTTCATTTTCCTACTACGTGACCGGCAGTATTCTTTCTTGGGGGATGGTGATTGCTGCATGGTTGTCGATGTAACATTGGCAATATTGCTACTCAAATTGTTATTGG